GTCCCCCTGTTGCCCCTCAATGTCCTATACTATTGAATATTTTCCCAGTGAAGGCGTGTGCATGTGTGTATAGGATTCTCATTCTAAGCCATGTCGAGTGAGCCAGATAAATACATCTTCACTGGGAAAAACGAAGAGAACATGTCCTCACAGTCTTTTGTACATCTTTTCAGACAATTTACACATACAAGTAAATATATATCTATCTATATTTAAAAAAAAAAACCCTCAAAATAGATTGTACTTTGTTCACCTCATTAACTGTTTCTGAGCTATTTTCCTAGGTGGGTATGGAGTTCTCATAAAGCACGTCCCCTTTCTCCCCTTCTCCTGGATTATTGGAGCATGAGAGTTAGTCAAGACAGGGAGATGTGTGCAACTCAGTTGAGGTCCTGGCTTTTTTTTTTTTTTTTTTTTCCGGATTGTGGAATTGCCGAACAAGGCATATTTGAAAAGAATGCATAGTTCTGTTAACCACACTGGTGACTCTATGTGCAAAGAACCAAAAACAAAACAAAAAAAACCGCAGGGAAGACGTCTTTACATAGTCTCAGAAAAAACAAAAAACAACGGAAAGATGAATGCCACCAAGCGTACCCGGCCTGACGTGCGCCAGCCGCTACATAACAAACCAAACAGTTATAAGCAAAGTTAGTTATAACGAATGACAATTCCTCATAAAATGACTTCAGATCTGCGAGGCGTGCCAAATATACCTCATTTTCCCCAATTTTGGGCACCGCCATCCGGGTTACACCCTTCCACAGGGACTGGACGCTCCCGCGCCTCCACCTCACCGCGCGTTTCACCCGCGAGGGGCGCAGGGCGCCGGCGACGCGAAGATCAAGGGTCCCACGAGGCCACTGAGCCCCGCCCCCGGCCCTGACCGGCCACTCGGGCCCGAGGCACGGGCTGAAAGCTCGGGCGGTGATTGGCTGAAGATCCTGATGGGCGGGGCGAGGCTTCGGGCTATAAAAGGCCGGTAGCGGGGTCGCCTCGGTTTGCGTCGGCGTTTCCTGCCACCGCGTTCAGTCGCCTCGGAGCTCGGAACGGAGCGCGCCCCCGCGAGTCATGGCGACCAAGGCCGTGTGCGTGCTGAAGGGCACCGGCGAGGTGGAGGGCGTCATTCACTTCGAGCAGAAGGCAAGGGCTGGGGCGGAACGGCAGCGCGCACCCGCGTCCACGGCGGCGGGGCCCTGGGCTCCGGGCC